GTTATAATCTTATTTTTTTTTATTTTTTTTCATTGATATAATCTCATTAAATTTTTTAAGAAGAATAGAAGAAGTGGTATTGTTAAAGAAATTATTGAAGCAAAGTTTTATTGATGCTTCTCTTTCAAAAATCTATATATGTTAAGATTGTTGATATGGTCATGCCAACAAAATTATTGCATATTTGGCAATTGAAAGTCGGTGGATTTCCAAAAGTTTATTTAAAATTAGTGACCATGGGGTGGACAGAAAGTCCTAAAGAGACAACATGTTTGAAATCCATTTATCAAATTTATCTACATTTTTTTTTCTTCAGTTCTTCAAGCTAACTACTTATGCATACAGCAACCATATATAAAGGTTTCAAAAAAAATACAAAGCATACAAAATAATCAATCCAAGTACTACATAATCACTACCAGTTACAGATGTATCTAGCTAACTTTTTTGAATGTTGCAATTGGCTAGATCCCAAAGTCCCAACTTTTCTTCTTTCAACTCCTTCCACAATTTTCTAGATACCAAAGTTCAACTTTTTTAAGTGTTACGAGAACATCTTTCATGTTGATCCTATAGTGATCCCGGTTTCCCTCGTTCATTGGTTGTTGTGTACATCTTGTTTACATCCTTTACTTTTTGTATTTGAGTCTTGGGTTGTGTTGGGCAGGTTTGAAACAGGTTGGTTGAGCTTAGCAACCAAGTGTAGTTGCCCAGATTTTGGCCTGTCCGCTCGAGCGGAGATTTTGGCGCTCGAGCGGGAAAATCGCCCTTCCAGTATTTTTTCTCTGCAGGGTTGTCCGCTCGAGCGGGAGTTTGGACGCTCGAGCGGGAGTTTTGTGTGTTACGCTCGAGCGGGGAGTTGGACGCTCGAGCAAGGGCTTGGTTCTGCAAAAGTGCTGGGAGTGTGTACTCAGAGCTCGAGCGGCGGTTTGGACGCTCGAGCGGGAGTCTGTGAGTGACGCTCGAGCGGGGGTTTCCACGCTCGAGCGGAGAGTCGGGTTTAAAGCTCCGTGTTTTGATTTTTAAAATCACTTTTTCACATTCATTTCTCTCTCTTACTTTTCCAAAACTCCATTGTTGAGCCTCTCTCTCTAGAACCTTGTCTTCTCTCTAGGTTTTGATCTAGCTAGGGTACTTTCCTCACCTTTGGTCTTTACGAAAGTTGGGTGGATCGTTGAGGGCTTCCCTTTGATCCGAAATTTTCGAGTTTTGGAGCACGTTGAGTTTCGTCATCTTCTTCCCTTGAGCTCCCAATTTGAGGTAGGGATTCCTACTCACTCTTATGGTCTTTAACATAGATTTTTAGTTATTTTGATAAAGTGTTGAAGTTGGGAAATTTTGGGACTTAGGGTTTCAAAATGTCAATAGAGGATTTTATTATTTTGATTCTAAAATGAGTATTTTGGGTTTCAAAATAGTGATAATGGTTGTTGGTTGATGAAATGTGGTCCATTGAGTTGTTATTGGAAAATGGGAAAGAATGCCCTAATTTGTATATAAATTAATTGGTATAATTAATTTGGGGAAGTTATGGATTTATGAAATTGAGTTGTAAATGATGGAATTGGTTCATTATGTGATGAAATAGTGGAGTTGGATTTATTAATCGCTCACTCTTGAAAACATTGATATTTTATCTATTGAAGCTTTTATTATCTGTTTAGAAATAACTGTTTGGGCTACCGGTGGAGGGTAGTTTTGATTGTTGTAGACAATGCATGATGATTAGGCAAATTGAAACTAATCAATTGAATATGTCATAGAATATGACAGTTGATAGAATACATTAACACACGCGCCCTGTAGGCCCCTGATCTACCTGCTCACCTCTAGGAGCAAAAGACTGTTGCACAGACTGGGATGTCGAAGCTCCCGGATTGGCCCTCGAGGCCTGCACAGACCCGGATTTTGTTTGGGAGGAGATAGGGGATGGACTCCACTGATACAGCTCATATGCTTGTCAGATAATGTGATGATACAGCTCATATGCTTATCTTTGGAAGTGTGATACAGCTTGTATGCTTATCTGTGGAAATGTGGATACAGCTTGTATGCTTATCTGTTGAGATGTCAATACGACTAGTATATGTAGCTATATAAAAATGGAGAATGTTTAATATGAGTCACTGTCTCATATAAGTGGTTGATTAGGCCCTAAACCGTTAATGTAAATTGTGGAACTGATAAGAAATGGAAAATAAAATGAAACATGGACAGAGTGGTCATGTAATGGAAATGGGTTATGAATTGATGTATGAAATTGAACATTTATCAAACTGCTAATGTCTTAGTTGTTGCTCATACTGTGTTTAGCATATCTCTACTGGGCGTTGGCTCACCCTATATGGGACATTATTTTCAGGTACAGGTAGCATGCCACCTCCAAGGACATAGCTTGGATGATGATGAGAGTTGAAGACTCTTTTGTTTATTTGTTTGTATTACATGTACATCAAGCCAAGGGCTTATTTTGTATAGAGCTAGTACTCTACTTTTGTGTAACCAAGTGTTAACTTGGAAAGCTGTAAGCCCATAGGGCATTTGCTTTTGTTGTTAACATGTAATACCGTTGTAAAGTTTATTCTGATGAAATGAAATTGGTCGGTTTCTTTTATTTGGATGTATGTCAAAAGGGATGGGTTTTATGTATTATTTTGAGGGCGTTACAGATCCTCTCCTCAGATGATTCTGCAGAGCAACTCAAAGCCAATTCCATGATGGATGATAAACATTACAGTACAATTGCAGTGAGGTGTTCTTCCTCTGGCTTAAGCAAGTTTGCATCTATAACATGAGAAATTGCATTTGGTAGTGACTCCCTCATCCAACGTTTCATCGTCATGTCTGTCACGCCCTGTATTTTATTACTCGGATAACATTACCAATATTCATTAAACCGAAACCGAAAATCAAAAAAAAAATCAAATTTAAAGCCATGCAGACTGATTATTGTTGAAAAATCTAGAAATCCCCTAGATGTTGATTTGTGATTATGTATCAATTTTAAACAGTATATAATAATCCCAATCAAACAATCAAGACAAATCAACACAACGATTTTAACGTGGAAAAAACCACAATTGGACACCTCCAACTGTGATTAAAAAATCACGAGCAACAGCCACAAAATAATCCACTAAGAAGATTTAAAGGAATTACACAGGTATACTCTCAATTACCTAGCGAATCCACGCCTAATTGAACCAACCTCTATGTGCCTCTTCCAACCCGTCTTCACCTCGGAATTGTCTTTACGATGAGCCACCCTAGAATCCACCAAAGCTTCAGGCTCGAATTCTTGAGAATCCACCGAAGAACAACTCTCTCTTTTGTAGAACAAAACACAACCTTTGATGTACTCTCTTTAAACCATGAGTTGAATACTCAATAAAAACATCAAAGAAAACTAACAAAATATCCCCAGATATAAACCTTAGAATCCAAAAAATAAGATCTGGAGGACTTGAGGAGTAGTCTCACTGAAATAAAAGTGCGAAAATAAATACAACTGAAAGGAGTTTTGTCAAATGGGATTGCCAAGAAATAAAACCTAACAATTGTTAAAAAACAGACCAAATATAGTCGGTTTGGTTCAGTTTAATCTGTTTTGTTGATTTTTTCGATTTTTCTTACATTTCTACTTCCATTCAACCTAATCCACCAAACAAACATGGCCGAAGGGCTAAGAATATGTTCATCTAATTAGTTAAATCACAAAATTGATAGGATTTCCTCAATCCCTTCTCATAATTTTGACACAAGCCAAATATAGGATTGAATACACAATTTCAAAGTATTGATAATCTTAGGACTATAGTCCTATGAATACTAATCTCATATAATTCAATTTGTCAAAATATATATATATATATATATATCATCCTTTTAGATATGAGGGAATATAAAAAGGAAAATATCATATCAATGGCATTTTAAAAAAATAATTATAAACTAGTGATAAATTTTATAAATATTAATAATTAAAATTATAAACTTTTTCACTCATATAATTATTTTTGAAAAATTAGACTGAGTTGTAATTGACCCAATATAAAATGTTTAGATACTATACTAATCGGAGAGTTCATCATTTTAATAGCCACTTTCTATCTTGTTTCATATATCAAGTTATCCCAGCAGCAGTCATCATGGAGAAAACTTGGTTCTTCTCTCTAACTGCATTGTTCTTGACACAGTACTGTTTCTTAGCTTGCTTCACTGACGCTATAATTGGTTGGGAGATTTGGAGAGAGATTTAGAAAGGGAAAGGAAAAAAGTATATGAAACTAGGTAAAATGCAGATATATTTTATTCACATTTCACCTACCTTTTTCATTTCCCTTTCCAAATCTCTTCTCAAATCCCCCAACACACACAGCATGAATGTTTCTAACTTCACCACCGATCAGTCTGCTCTTTCGGCCTTCAAAGCCCATATGACTTTCGACAATCCTCACCACATATTGGCCAATAACTGCTCCTCAGCCACTTCAGTTTGTGACTAGATTGGTGTCTCTTGAGGCAAATGCCACCGCAGAGTGGTGGCCTTGAATCTCCCTAACATGGGTATTGGAGGCACCATTCCACCTCTCATTGGAAACCTCTCATTTTTATCCTACTGCTACATTACCAATAACACTTTTCATGGTCATCTTCCCAGTGAGTTGGCGCAATTGCATCGCCTAAAAGTTGTCGACTTCAGAATCAACAATTTCGATGGAGGTGTTCCGACATGATTTGGAAACTTACCCAAGCTTCAGTACTGGGTTCCCGCAAACAACAGTTTCATGGGTTGGGTTCCACCTTTCCTTGGCAACATATCAACATTAGAGTCTCTCAGTTTAATGTACAATTTTCTGGATGGAAGAGTCCTTGAAGAGATCGGTTATCTTCCTAAACTGATGCGGCTACGCATGGGATTTAACTATTTTTCGGAGTCTATACTGCCAACCATATTCAACATCTCATCACTTCAATTGATTGAATTCTGATCTACTATAATGTCTGGTAGTTTTCCGGATGATATGTGTATTTTAATTCCTAAACTTGAATTTATCCATCATTCTTGGAATGAGTTTGATGGCCAAATTCCATCAACTCTGACTGAATGCAGAGAGCTCCAAATCATATCATTGTCTGTTAATAAACTCTGTGAGGTCATACCCAGAGGAATCGGAAATTTAACCATGCTCAAGGAGTTGTATCTTGGAGATAATAACATCACAGGTATGCAAATCCACCTAGTTAATTTTAAAATTAAAGCAAAATTGTACTAAGTTAAAAGCAAAATGGATTGGACCATGCTAGGTCCACCACGCGTCTTATTTCGATATTTGAATTGTTCATTTTTGTAAATCATAACGTTTAGATTGTTTATATTAAAAATCAAGTCAATCCGATAACTGTTGGCTATAACATTTATTTGTAAATAAAATGAAAGATAAATAGTACTTAAAAATTAGATCATTTAACTTTTAGAAAACAAATGTAATAAATGAATCTGCTTACGATTATTGGATCAACTTGATTTTTTACATGGATGATTTGCACTTTGTACTCTACAAAATGAATTATTCTAATTATAAAGATGTGATCTGTGGTAGACCTCACAGTCTCAAACAATAAGATCCAGTCCACTTGTAGACAGAATCTTATTTCTTATTTTAAGGGTTAATATGTTATATGAAAAGCTCCTAGAAAACCCAACCATACTAAGATATTTGATGGCTTCGAATATGGAGCAGAAGAACCATACAAATTATGCAAATTCACAAGAGAGAAGCGATCACAAGATACCAAGATTTATATGGTTTGGCTTAAGCCTATATCCACGGGCAAAGATCACTAGCAAAGAGAATAATTGATCCTAAGAGCTACAATTGTGATAAAGTAACGTCTCACATCACTTACTACCCAAGTATTTGTGCTCTCAGCAAACCCAAAAATACAAATTCTCACAAGAAGACACCAACGGATCTAGTTAAACATAACCATAGATCCAAAATAAGGATAAACATCCTCCAGTACCTCCAAAAGGGCCAATGGCATGTTTCCAAAGAGAAATCTCAAGGAACTGCCAATAGCTTAACCAAAGGAATCAAAAATTTTAACTAAATTACTAAGACTCACCCCTTATTTATAGCTATAGAATCATTCTTAAAGCTAATTCAAAATCAAATAGGTTTCTTTACAATTCAATCCAAAACCAACCAGGAAACACTACGTCCAAAACTTTAGGTAGGTCTCTCACAAATACAAGCCAATATAAGAGTCAAAAACTGTTGGACAATCTTCACTGTAATTAATTAATTCAGTTTGTGTACTTAATAACAACCAGAATATAAAGAAATAAAGGAAATGATTTAGGTGTTCCATGTTTTGGCACATTTTAGAACTTTTTAGCATCCAAATTTGGGATTTAAGACAAGTTTATCAATTTTGGTTGCAAAAGTAATTGCAAAAATTGCAAGTTCTTGATATTTTATTTTGTTACAAAAACAAAATTAAAATCTGATTTAAATAAACAATAATAACACTGAAAATAAATTAAATAACTTACTTGATTTAATTTCTTCGAATTATAATCTGATCAAGTCCAGTGTTTGACACTGTGTCCTTAAGACAGATTCGTCCTCTCCACGGTGCTTTCAGAATGTGGACGTTTATCTCCTAGGATGAAATGATCAACTACAAACAATAGTAGCACTACAAATTGTTTACCTAACGAGCACACTAAGTGTTTACACTCTTTCTTTCAGAAATTAAATGCAGCAAAATGCAGAAATTTATAGCAGAGGATGGAGTATGAAAATTTGAGTAAAATCCAAATAGGAGGCTAGTCTATTTATAGATGTAAAGGTGGCTGCTGATTTTGAATTGAACAGGTATAAAACCTGTTGGTTTTGAATTCAAACAGATTTGAATCTGTTGGGTTCATAATTTAAACAAATACAAAAACAAGAAGGGTCCTGTTTGGATGTACGTTAAAAACCAGACTAGTTTATTTCGGGAAGGGCCCTGTTTGGATGTACAGTAAAACCAAACCAGTTTTATTTCTGGTTTAATTTGAATTCTGGATTTTATTTTATACAAAATAAAATTAAATTCAAATATTTTTTGCCCAAAAAGATTAGTATTGGGCCAAACAAGCCCAACCCAACCTCACACCCCGCGCCCAGGCCCAGCCTAGCCGGTCAGATGACGGCGGCGCACGTGTGGTGATTTTTGGGTCCAATGGGTTTAGCCCATTTTGCCCATAACCTCTCCCTCTAAAACACTTGGGTACCCCTTGGGGCACACCCCAAGTACCAAACCCAAGCCTTATAAACCCATTCAAAACTTCCCACCAAATCAATGTGGGACAAGCCATTTTACAACCTTAAAGAATTTCCACCAAAACTCTATTTCCATGGAGCACACTTTGGCTTCAATTTCCCATTCACTCGATAATGGTTTTGAGCAACCAAATATACCACGTGAATCACAACGCGACATAGAACGCGTTACCACTTTGACCCGTGAAAATCGACGCACGGGCTCACCTTAAAAATAGACCAAACTTAGGAAAAAAATTATGGTTTTATCCAGAATTTTATAACCATTTCCAACAAAAACAAATATAAGTTTAACTGATTAAGACTATCCACAAATCCTGTTCCAATTAGAAAATTGAATACCAAATCCAAATTATATTTAGAAAAGGACATTAAGTCAATAAGCAAAGAAATAATACTTGGGAATGGTTCTCAAAAGTATGTATTGTTACTCTTTAGTCTCTAATTTTTTTAATTATTTCACTTTGACCCCTAAAATAAGTGATTTGGTACACTTTAATCCTGATGCTGCGTTGTTCAAAATCAATAGTTGGAAGGCTATTTTTCGAATTTAACATGAAGTCTCAACAAAATTAAAATAACCAAATGTACCATGATCAAGCTATGCATTTTGTAGCATTTTGGTTCCCAAATTATGCATTTTATTCATTTTCATAGTTGTCAACTAAAGTAAGGCATGTCAATTAATTTTAGAAACCATAGAAGAGGTCCGTGCAATTGTGAAAAACCATTGAGGAAGTTCGTGTAATTAGCCTAGATAAAAAATCAATGGTCTATAAATGTTTCGTCTATTTAAATTTTAAAATATTTTTAATTGATTTTTATAAATGGCGTGTTCAAAAGTTTTGAAATAGAATGTGAAATATTGTGCAACATTCGTCACCGAAATCTCACCAAAGTCATTACCAGTTGCTCAACCCTTGATTTTAAAGCCCTCATACTTGAGTACATGCCTAATGGCACTCTGGAAAAATGGTTGTATTCTCACAACTATTTCTTAGACATGCTGCAGAGGATGGACATAATGATAGATGTGGCTTGCACCTTGGAATATCTTCACTGTGGTTATTCAGTGCCTGTGGCTCATTGTGATTTGAAGCCAAGCAATGTGTTACTAGATGATGATATGATTGCACATGTGAGTGATTTCGGCACTGCAAAGTTGTTAGGTGTGGGGGAGAGCACTGCACAAACAAGGATAATAGCAATATTTGAATATATTGCACCAGGTGATGCTGCTATCTTACAATTCCTATAGCGATCCTAGTTGTCCCTTTACTGTTCTGTTGTTTTCCGAACGCGGTTCCGTGGAGTTGGTAGTTGTACCTATCGTGTTGTCAACCTTTAAACTCTTTTGTTTGAGTTTTAGAATGTGCTGGGCTTGGTTGTTACAGGTTGGTAGAGCTTTAGCTCCCATTGTTGTTGTCCAGTTTTTGAATGGTCCGCTCGAGTGGGTCTTCTTGCGCTCGAGCGAGGTTTTCACAGTTTCAGTATTTCGTGCCTCTACAAAACTTCTACAGATGTGTTTTCTACGCTCGAGCTGATTTCTTGTGCTCGAGCGGATCGAGCTCGAGCGGGCCTGTTAGCGCTCGAGCGGGTTGTACTTTTTGGTGTAAGTTCTGGGAGGGAGAAATCTACGCTCGAGCGGACTGGTTTTTGCGCTCAAGCGGATGTACTTTAACCTTGTGTCTTGGCGCTCGAGCGGGCCTTCTTGCGCTCGAGCGTACCTAGCTTTTTGTCCTTGACGCTCGAGCGTTGTGTTCTCCGCTCGAGCGGGAGAGTCGTATATCAGTTGACAGCTAGGCTATTTTAAATCACTTTTTACATTTCCTTTCTCTCTCTTACTTTCCCAAAACTGATTTTTGAGAGCTCCTCACTCTAATACCTAACTTCTCTCTAGGGTTTGATCTAGTAGGAGTGTTTTCCTCACCTTGAGCCTTTGTAAAAAGTGTGTTGATCGTCGAGGGCTTCGTTTTGATCCGGGAATTGTGAGATTTGGAGCAACTTCGAGATTCTTCATCTTCTCCATTTGAGCTCCGAACTTGAGGTAGGGATCCTCCTTGTACCTTTTCAATACTCCGTCTATAGATAGACATGTGGTAGTTTTTGTATTGCATGAAAATGAAATCATGTTGGATTTGTTGAAAATCATGAGGTTGTACCTTGGGTTGGTTGTTGAATTTGGGTTTATTATCATTAGTTGTGGATTGGGCTAATTGGAGTGTTAATTAGCATGTTGTTGTTGAAAGGAGAGGGAACCCTTATTTTTATTAGACCTAATAAATTAATAAGAGGGGTTTTGATCTTTGGGCAAACACTTATGTATTTTGGGTCTTAAATAAGGCCTTGGTTGTGAATTGTAGTTGATTGAGCCTTTTTGGCCAATATTGGGAAAGAGAGAGGAAAACCCTAATTTAAGGATTATGACTTAATTTGCATAATTAGTTCGGAATGGCTTTGGAAAGAATGTAGTGGATTAAAATAAGTTATGGCGTTATCGTCCATGGAATTGATTTTTGTGAAAATAAAAAAAGAATGGGATCGGTTTTGTGGAAACAAAAGGGATGAAGTTAGTTTTGTGAAAGCAAAAAGAAGTGGAAATTCGTTTTGTGAAATGGGAAAAGTATTTTCTGAAATAAGTATAAACATTGAAATGTTGTATCTTGAGTGTTGAACACACACTTGTGGTGGTTGTATCTTTAACTACCATGTTGATGTTGTTGTTGGGTTTTGTGATCTCGTGTTAATTGAGCCTGTTAGTAGATGTACAATATGCATGCGTCTAGAGGTTCTGTCCCTGGTCATCGGTGGAGGATGACGTGGTTGTGTTGAATTGTCGTGTATGCATTACACTTATGTGTTCATCTACTTTAACACATTACTGGTATCTTGTTAGTTTATGTGTATGTAGTACACATGTTGGTTATGCCTTATTGTATTGTGGCTGTTGGTGTTATACCCTGCGCTGAGAATCAGAGGTACCGTTACCTTCCAGCTAGCGCCTGGAGAACTGACTGCGCTGAGAATCGAAGGCACCATACCCTTCCAGCTAGCGCCTGGTAAACTGGTAGATTGTTGTGAGAAATGTATCTTTGGCTTACTACGCATATAGCCAGTAGAGCAAAATGTTGTTGTTATTGTTTCAATGTATTTGGGAACATTGTAGATTGTGTTGGTTACAATTTTGGAGGGCCGAGTTGCCTCATTGGTTTATTTTACGCATGTAGTTGAGTTATCTCCCGTTTATAAAGGTATGCATATGTAATTATGATTGAATTGGGAATGAACCAAAATGCCTTTTTGTCTTTCGGTAACGTGAAGAAGATCGAACACTTTAGAAACATGTTTTGAAAAGACACATCTATAGTATGTGTGGAAAAAATGGAAGAGAGTAGTGGGCTTAGTGAATTTAATCCCTAAGGAATTGTTAATGTTATGAAAGATTGGGAACGGGGGTTAATGAAAATAAAGGAGAATTGAATCGCCTATGGCGTTGACTGAAATGGTTGTTTTCAAGAAAAGTTCATACATATATGTATATTTTGTATAAACTGACACATTACTATTCTAGTATGAGATTGAGCATTCATGATCATAGCTATCTGTATGTTGTTATTGTTGAGGGCCATGTTGAGATCCCTACTGGACTATATGTTCATCCCACGTTGTTGAATCTTTTTTTTTTAGGTGTTTAGCAGGATGTACTACAAGATTTGGATCTTCTTATTTGTTGGCCACGGGGCCTCTTTGTTGTAGGCGGAACGCCATATATGTAAAAGGGTTGCACCCTTCATTTGATTAGTTAATGTTGTAAGCCTGAGGGCAATTTATTTATTATACCCATGTTGTATTTATTTGCATACGAATGAGAGTAATATTATTCACTTGTACGAGTTGAATGTACGAGTTTATTTCCGCATGTTATCTCTGAAATGGAATTAAGTAAATGAAATTGATAATACTTCGAGAAATAAAAAGTGGGGCGTGTCAATTCCTTTTCATGTCTATGCTTTCATTATTTTTAATTCCTCTATTTGTTTCGACAGAAAATATACATTTTTTTTTCCAACCTTGAAACTAATGTGTTAGTGATGGTGTTGGTGAAGGTAGTAAGGTGATATGGTGGTAGCAGTGTGTGTTGGAAAATGGGTTTTTATAAGGCATATTTTGGGCCGACTTTGAGCCCAAAATAGAGTGGGCCCCAAACGTCTTTTGGGGTGGGTCCGAAGAGGTGACATGTTCCTTGCCGCGTAGCAAGTCACACGGTAAAGACGAAACGTCAAATCCATTTATGAGTAATTGGGAAGTTGACGTCGTTTTTGGGTTTAACATTAATTTTTTAGATAAAAATTCTTTTGAATTTTTTCTATAAAAATTATTGTGGGAATTTAATTTAATTCTAAATTCAAATCTTGGGTTCCTAAGTGGTTTCCTAAAGTTTGTAATTGTGGGAATTTAATTTAATTCTAAATTCAAATTTTGGGTTCCTAAGTAGTTTTCTAAAATTTGTACCTCTTACTTTATTTATTAAACTATTCAATTTGTTTAATATATATATATATATTCAAAATAGTTTATTTAATAAAGTGCAACAGATTTGAGTTCCTAACTGTTTCTTTTGGTTGACCAACGGTCAATATTCAATTTGTTTGAAATTTTGTTTTGACCAACGGTTAATTCATATATTCAAATAGTGAATAGTTTTGCACCTGTTTGACTTCGGTATTGCATCTGTTCGGGTGATCGTGTTGCCTATAAATACCAACTTACTAGCAATGTGTTAGACCCCCGGGAAAATCAGTCTGAAATATTTCTTACTATCCAGTTTGTAATCTTTTGTGCATTGGTGCATTATTCTTCATTTTAGTATTAGAATAAAATTCAGAGAGTTAGAACACAAGTTTTGTTCGCCGAACAAATTGTTTGGAGTACTACTACAGTTTGTGAAGATCATTGTATCCTGGGAGATAGACGCCACTCAACCGTAAGTACCGTAGCTGGGCGAATCTGTCTTAAGGACAGAGTGTCTCACACACGACTTGGTCTTGTAATTTTATTTGGTTCGACAAAATAAATTCTGTAAGTTTTTATTTATTTTGTTTGAAGTTGTTTCAATTTATTTTATTTGCACAGAAGATTGCTCCAACAATCTTAAGACAGATTCGAATTATTCTGTTTACAGAATTTTTCATTTGTTTCCTTTCTCATTCTTCTTTTAAGAAAATTATTTTCTGTGAATTTACAAAATAATATTCTGGTTGGAAAAACAAATAGTGATTATATGCTATTTGACAGATAATAGTAATATACTGTCTCTTTTCTTTGACAACAACTAGTAGTACGATACTGGTGTCATTAACAATTCAGAATATATTTTTGTGGAATTTTTTCAGAAATTAATTTTGGGTTTTAGAAATTATTTTTTGAGTTTTCATTCATTACTTAAAATTCTGTTTTAGTATTTTAATTATTGAAGTGCTATAGAAATTAATTTTCTGTGTGGAATTAATTTGGTTGAATAAAATTTTATTTTATTTCCAAATTAATTGAAAAAATAAAAGTTATATTCTTATTTCTTTTATTTTAAAGAATTCAATTTTCTGTGTAAAATTAATTTGTTTAAATAAAATTTTAATTTATTTTCAAATTAATTGAAAATAAAAGTTACATTCTTGTTTTTTTTATTTTTTATAGAATTTAATTCTGTGAATTTGGTTTAATTTTCTGTGTAGTATAAATTCTAATTATAATTTTATGTTATAATTTAGAATTGATGACTACTGAAACAAATGCCCAAACAAGTACTACTGTGGTGGCTGTATTTGCAACAACCCCCTCTCCTATGGTGACAGTACCAATAAATCATGGAGAGAAGCCAGAGAAGTTCTTAGGAACTGACTTTAAAAGATGGCAACAGAAAATGTTGTTCTATCTTACAACTCTGAACTTGGCTCATTTCCTCCGTGAAGATGCTCCTATCCTGAAAGAGGATGAAACATATTATCTATTTTCTTTGACACTCTTCTGCTCTCCAGATTTTTGCTTACCAGCATTTTCCCTCTACCATCTCTCTACTCTCACTACATTGAATGAAAAAATCTCAAAAGATCCATAGATGTGCACGTGCTCGTGTTTATTTGTAATAAAGAAAATTAACTTGTTTAACAAAAAAGAAAAAGAAAAGAAATTAACTTAACAAGTGGCTTGAGGAAGTAGATGAAGTTTCAAAATGAATGCAAGCACTTTTAGATTGAGACA